TTCTAACCAATGAACAAAACCAATTGGCTGAAGTAGAAATCTGAGACTTCCAGGCTAGTCTGTGAGGAAATTGGTACCATGGGCCTTAGGAAGGCCAATTCAAAAGATTCTGTGACCAGATGTAATCCAACGACTAGCGGTTTCAAAATGAGAAGACAATCCAAGAAGAAATCTGAACAGTACAATCACATATGACCCCAATGAGAGTGAAAAGTGAGCTCAAAGAACACTGAGCATCATAAAAAGAAAGAACATGCACCAAAAATGAAAGGATGTCCTATACTGAAAAGGAAAGATTTCTAAGTATTGATCAAACAAGGAGTCCAATAGTGGTCTCTTGCCATAGAATTATATAATAGGACACTGGAAGATCCATGAAGGGTCAAGTCTCTTGGTTTTGTTAAAATAGGCATGATAGCAAATTCTATAAAATGTAAAAGGTGAGCTTGAAATCAAACCTGGACAAAGTTCTGATGCGATCAGCAAAATATGGTTTATTACGATTTAGAATGGGAATGAGGTGTTTGGAAAGCAACATGGGCTCAACCAAGAACAAGTCATGCCAGACCACAACCTCACAGTCTTTTTTTAGATATGAGACAGACTAGGAGAGGATGCAGAAGACTTACTATAAAAATCTGGATTGTGCTTTTATAAATTGTGCAGTTAACATGAAACTGAGGGGTGGGTAATCGATATGCTAGAAGACATAATCAAAATTTTAAAATATTCAGAAAGTGTACAGATAAGACCAAAAAGAAAAAAAACACAAAACAAAAAAAGTTGAGGGACAACTGTAGGGCAACACACTGAAGTCCAAACACTGGGCTAGGTAAATACAGTAAGGGAACTTGGTTTGTTTCTTCCTGGTGGAGGGCTAGGATACAATGAACTTCTTAACTACCAAAGTCATCCAAGACAGGAGGAACTACAAATGAGACTATGCCCCAGAAAGTCCACAAGGACAGAGACCTTTGTTTTGTTCACTGATGTACTCTGACTAATATAACAATGCCTGCTACATAATAAGCACTCAATCCTTTGCTGAAGGAGTGAATGTTTTTTTTGGAGGTGTCCCAGTTCAGACTGGAGGGCCAATGGATTCAGACGCTATAGAAAGCTAAAATCATTAGGAAAATGGTTAGACTAAATGATCTAATAAGTATTACAATGTGCCTTTCTTCTTTTGTATTAATTCCAACCTGAATCACTTTAAGTCTTTACTTACAGTTTGAGATATGGTTATTCCTCCTCCAGAGTATCTGTTCCACTGACTTTATTCCCACAGACCCCCTACCTTATGTCATCAACTGTTTTTTAACCCATACCACAGGGGAATACTCCACTGAGGCTCCATTTAGACATTTTGATACAAATTTTCATATAGCAAATACTCATGGGTGTGTACACCCAAAGTTAAGTACAATCTGAAAGTGCTAAAAAATTTCTTCCCTTTCTTTTCTAGTCAGAAAAGTATACTGGAATACAAGTGTGTGAAAATGATATGATTATACGGAGACTGAAGCATTTGCTAATTTATTTTAAATATTAATAAATAAAAAAGTAAATTGTCTGTAAACTTCAGAACCTTCTCAGTTGAGAAATTGGCTATTTCATACCACAATGAAGGCAACACAAGAAACCTGTTAATCTCCTCCGTTTAGTCCTTTGATAATATGGCAATAGCCCACTGCCTTGCTTTGTCTTTTGCCACTTTTACCCAACACCCAGCATCTCACCAACCTACAGCTAATTAGTGATGTTAGTCTTATTTACTCAAGCTCCTCCCTCTGCCAGGAGTGCCTTCCCACATTACCCAGCTAACTTCTATTTACCCTTCATAACTCAGTTCAAGGGTCACCTTCTCCAGGAAGCCTTCTCAGACCAATACCTACGCATACGCCCATCTCCACTCTTCTTCACACTGTTATCTGCACTTAACCACACTGCTGGTTTCTGTCTCTATTCTTTCACTAGGTAGCAGAACCCTACAAGGGTCCCCTCACAGGTTGGTTGCATGAACGGATGATTAATGAACAAATTAACATCAACTTTTAGAGCCACGGTGCCTTTTAGGCTCAAAAAAATTTAAGTAACCTGCTCAAGATCACACCAGGAAAAAAAGCAAGGATTTGAATGAGGGTCCATGATCTTTCCTAACCATCTTGCTTCTCCACTGTGTTAGTGAACACGACTTTGACTACAGGTATTTTATAATGACAATAGCACCCTTGCTCCAAACATTCTCTTCTGGCTAATGCTCTACTTTTGGAAAAGGCTACATGGCTTCCCTCAACCTGACAATGTTCTTGCAGGGTGTGACCTGCTTCTCAGGAGCCCTTTTAGCCCTGCTATTCCAGGAGCATAGGAGAGCCCTGTTTTCAAGAAGTTAGGACACACACTGCAATCCTACTTACACAGGTATCAAATCAAAGTAAATCCCAAGGATCAACTCGCTTCTTGAAAAGAGGTGAGCAAGAAAAGAAAATGGCTAAACACAGAGCTGTTTTAAAAATGTCTCTTTACTTGAAAGAACATTCTTTCTTTTCTATTATTATTATTATTATTAAGCGAGGCAACCCTTGGTTGACCTCAAGATTGCAAGGACCTTGTTAGCTTACAATCCCTTATTTTTTTATTTTTTACGCCTATAGCACTTGGTCTTCCTAGGTAGAACATTCTTTCAAAAATAGTTTTGTGGAAAAAAAAACTTGTGAAATAATTCAAGAAATAAAGTTCACCTAAGCTATCATCGTTCTCTGTAACACTATCAAGGGGAATAACGAAGCTTCAATTACTGGTACATTTTGTCCTACTTGTCTCACCTTTCTCATTTTAATTTTAATACTTTTCCTGGTAACCTAATTACAACAGTCCCAAGAGAGTTGTTTTTAACAAGATCAGACAGGCACCACTAAGTTTTAGAAGATAACACAATTCATAGAAATATTTACTTATGCTGTAGCTGAAAGTCTCATTTAAATACACAGAATGAGAACTACCATTAAGTGGAATTTGGCAAAGGTGTATTTCTTGGGTCTCACTTACTGTAAAGCACCAATGCAAGACTTTGATGAGGCTTACATGGCTGCATTAGTGTCATGAGGAGGCCTCTCTCCAACGTCTGAGAGACTAGGAGGGCTGCGTAATGGCCAAGTATATGAATTACCTTAAAATTACACCATTAACCAGACAGCATCTTTCTCCTCATCCTGGTCTAAGGCATCTACCTATGTATCCACTCACCAAGCCTAAATGTTCCCCTCTACAGTACCTGATCTTCCTCTCTATGGCCCTCCTGTGCACATTCCAAGGAATGTGCAGGAGACATGGGTTTCCAAAATGCACATTTTAGAGCCAGAGGCAGGTGTCCTAAATAGAGTGAGGCTTTAAACCCTAGCTCAGGTAACAACCCAATTCCTGACTTCCTTTATGGAACCTGGAATTCTGACTGGGAACTTTGCCTCCCGAGGTTCTCATGTTGGCGTGCCAACAATCAACTGCCTAATACACACAAGTCACAACAACTCTCTGAATCCTAGGCTCTCTACTCCTATGATGAAATGACAGATGTGAAAATGCCTGAGAAAGCAGAAACCACTACACAAATTAGAAGGTATTAAGAGCCCAGGATACCCCAAGTTATTTTAGAGTGCTAAGGTGCAGACTAAGCCAGAGGTGTTCAGGGGTAGTTCTATGTGGGGATGAGAAAGCCTGAAGGCTTACACAGCCAGGACTCCATTTGTGGAGGCGGCTTCCTCTATTTTTTTTTTTCCTTTTCTTCCACTGGGAAGTATAAAAGCACCTGGGTCTTCCCCAGACTCTAGTCTCTGCTACAAGCCTCACTTTTTCCTTACAGCCAACAGAAGAGGGAGGTGTAATTCAGAGAGATATGACTCTTGGTCCAGAGAAAACTGAGAATAAGCAATGAAAAAAATACACATGAAACAAATTATAGCTAACTTTTATCTGTGGGAAGGCTGTTTTGTGGGTTAAGTTTTACTTTTTTGAAGTGACAGGCTCTATTAATTCATCCTTCTGCCATGTACCAAATTGTCTCCCAACCATACCCTGCTTTGACTTTGGGGTTAATACGCAGAGAACAGTCACTAATTTAATCTGTTTCTAACATATACAATTTGATAATATTAAGAGTATTCAATGGTAATTATACAATGATACTTACACTGCAGTTTGTAATTCACAAGGCAGTTTCACGAGTTATCAATACGTGAAAGCGTTGGGATTTGTGGCACCAAATCTCATGTTCTGGTACAATAATATTTACGGCCTACTTCACTAGGTATTTTATACTTCAGTAAGAATAACACTAAAAAATATATGGTATCATTCTTCTAAAAATCTTTAAAATCTTCTTTGAAATCTACTTTATTTGTCAGATTCTCCTGTCCATTCTTCCCCAGGACTGCCAGGGGGGTTGTACTCATATATGGTCCCTCTGGACTTAATCAGATGTCTCACCAAACTTCTACCTTCTGGCAGAAACTGTGTATTGCAGTTTTACCACCACCCTCAAAAGGCTCATCAGCACTGGTCTTAAGGACTTTTTTGAATTTCCAAAAGCCACAGGAATATGCTAAGCTTTGCAAGAATCTTTTTTTAAAGGCAGTTAATGTTTAGAAAGAACATGACTTTGTGATTAAAATGTTCAAGTTCTATTTCATGCTATTATAATTTACAAAATCTTTAATAAGACCTGAGATATTTTAAAATTATTCCTCTGCCGGGCTGAAGAGGAATTCTAAGGCATTTATTCATATTTTTCCTCAACTGAACTGACCACAATGTTAGAAATATGGAAATGTACAAATGGCTATATGTCATGTGGAACACTCACAGTGGACCTTCCAAATCATCCAGTTCTCTTATTCCTATGAATATAACCTTAAATGAGCAGTCATTACTTTGCAGAAACAAAATTAAAACTAAAGATGAAAACCGAATGACAAAGAACCCCAAAAACCAGCCTCAGATTTTACCTCCAATGCCAAGGCAGTCTTGTCATAAGCACAGGGTACTCTTTTCTGGATTGCTTTTGCAAAGACAGGTCCATTCTGTGTGGATGGCAAAGGGTTGATTGCTGCCCCCGGGGTACTGGAAACTGCAGGTAGAGGAGTTGTGGTTTGAGGTTGAGCATATGCATGAGCAGGTTCTGGGATCCCATAACTGTTGGAATTCCTATTTCCATGTTTTCCATGTGGTGAGGATCTCACAAGCTTTTCAACATAAGGGACGGGAATCATCCCAATCCAGCCGTCCTTGTTCCGGGCACTCCACCACTGTTCCTCAGGCTTCTCTATTATCACCAGAATCTCACCCTTTTTAAAGGGCAGGTCTTCGGCATCATTTCCAGGAAAATCATAGAGAGTCCGTACATATTCCAGATTTTCTTCTGCTGTAGGCAGGTTGGGTGCTGATACAGATCCCACTGATGGGCTTGGATACCTTAAGAGAGAAAGAAAATTATTCTAAGAGAAAAATCTTACTCTATACCAGTGTTTGTCAAACTTTTAAATAAACCATTCTCTATAATAAATTATTTCTCTCTATACATTCTCAGTTGTTTAAGGTTCTGTCACACTGTTTTACTTTCCATTGTTTATACTGCAACAGAAATTAATACTATGAATGTGCTTTTAAATCACATGCTAAGTACGTATACACACATACAAAGTCCATATCTGTTTTACAAGAACCTTTTGTGTACACAGATACCTGGTCTGAATTTATTTTAAAAATCTCAAGTAAGTTCAGTAGCTGCCTTCCTTAGGGCCCTGTCACAACCACCACATACTCTTACTCCTGGTCCTAATCTGTGGCATGCATCCTGCACACTTTCCTAGGCACCCACAGAGAGGATGATACAGATCTCTGTCTCTCAAATTATAAAAACCAGAAAAAGGTTCATATGCTTTCCAAATTAAAAAAAAAAAAATCATACTGCATTCTGTATAACAGGAATCATCATCTGAGCATCCAAATGAAAGCATGTGAAAGTTTTCACTGCAAAACTCAGAGAAGCAAGAATTCTCATCTAAGCAACAGTTCATAGACACCACCACAATCCTTTTGCTGTGCTCAGAGATTCAACAGGTATTTTGCTTTAGTACGTTGTAGAATGCACTCCCAGAGACAATTATAAAAGCAGTCCCTGCTCTCCAGCAACATCCCATTTGTAATGCCTTCTGCAAAAGAAGTACAGAGGTTTCTCTTCACCTGAGAAATGTTCTGAAAAGTTGCAAATACAAGTTTTAGAAAAAACTACCTTACCATTAGCTTTTCCCCTCCTAACTTCAGAAGAGAAGCACAGAAGCTACACCAGAGTATAATAAACTCTGGCCTTCATCTAAAGAGTGCACCTCTTTAGGAGGTGACTTTATCTGCAGGACCATCACCAGAGCCAGGTTCTAGAATAGCCCTGAGGGAGTATATTAGGATATTCCCACTGACTATGGTTTCCGATTAGCTCACGGCCATTCTTTCTTTTTCCCCCATTAATGACCTAAAAAATTATTTCAGATAACAATGTGATCTAAGTAGAAGCATTTTAATATAAAAAAAAGTTTCCTTTATAAAAAGTGTCACCATATTATAACATTCAGCAAAAAAAGGAAAACAAGAGAAAAAAAATCCCATAGTTCCTGCTCTAACGTAGCTACAATCCTCCTTCCCTTCTCCCCTTCCACAAACCCAGTTTATGGCTTTCTTTAAAAAAAAAGTCTGTGGAAGTTTTTTGCCTAATATCACACCACAGGTGTTTCTCTACATCACTGGTCTTCTTCATGATCACTTTCACAGCAGGGTACCACTTTTCATTCTGGGAGCCTGCTGCAATGAAGCATCCCTGTGTTTCCAGATATTTAGTTTTGCTTTTTCCCTATTTAATAATTCTTGTCACAAACTCTTCTCACCATATTTTCTCTATACTGGATTTTTTTTATAAGCCTAGATTCCCATATTGAAGAACGGCAACATCTTCATGCTCCTTGGTCCATACTGGCACACTGCTTTCCAAGTGGCAGCCAAAACTTGTATCTTTTTAATGTAAATGACGAGCTTCTTCATTATCAGAATACCATGGTGATTAGAAGCTTGATTTAAAACTGAAAGGACTTATTATTATTTATTAACAACCAAAGGGCAAATTGCTCACTACAAGTATACCTAAAAAGAGACAGCAGGAGTGGGAGGAGCAGCAACAGTAATAAAGAGTTGACATTCATTACCTATGCTAGGCATTTTTTGCAGTCTTTGCAGACATTAAATTGTTTAATCCTCGCAGCAATCTGGTGAGGTAGATGTTGTTATCCCCATTTCACTATGAGGAAGCCAAAGCAGGGGTCAGATTTGCACTCGGGCAGTCTGGTTCTAGAGCCCTCACTCATAACCTCTAAGTTAGTGAGACTCATGGATAAACCCTGCATCTTTCAGATGTATAAAAATTAATGTATTAATGTCTGTAAAACATTCAAATAGTTCCTGACTGACACTGAGCAGCTACCCACTGCACCCTCTTTAAAGTACACCTCTCCTCTCTTCTCATTTCAAGGGCCACAAAGATTCTGTGAAAAGTTTGGGTAGTACTACATAAATCCCAGATACTTTACTAAGAGCACAACAGGTTCCAACTCAGACACTGTCCAAGGGTATTTTATTGTCTGTATAGTTAAATATTAAAAGCAGTTCATTCCACAACACATATTGTGAGGACACCAGTACAGCTTCAGTGGGTAGTAACCCTAATGAAATCCATTTACCCAGGTATCCACTGGCCTTACTATGTACTAAAAATATGGGGGGGGACAAACAATGAGTTAATTAAAACCAAGTTCGTGCTCTCAAGAGTACCAATTTAGTAAAGGAAAAGACTAGAAGGCAAATGAAAGCACAAAGTCATGATGTATATCATGACAGACAGGGACAGGGTCAAAGAATACTCAAAGGAGTGAGTTCTAGTAAGGGACAGGAGAACAGACAAGGAGGTAATACACCAAAAGCTGAAGACTAGCATCCTTTGAAGCTGAAAGACTTTGTGGAAGATACACTTACATATTTTGGTTTTACTTCAGAAAAAGACTGGAGGCCCGAAGGTTCAAAAGCTCTCTTCCCCAGCATCCCCAGCTCACGGGGCACACTGCTGCTGGTTCCTATAAGCACAGACCAGGAGCTTTGCTGGGGAGGACCTTCAAAGACTGGCAAACTTCTGTAAAGGACTGGTACATGTTTGAAGCTTTGTGGGCTACCTATGGTCTTTGTTGTATATTCTTTTATACAATCCTTTTAAAAATGCATTTTGTATAGTACACTATATAAAAACTATCTGGAATCTAGCTTATGAGTCTGAAAACTAGGGCCTTGTAGGCCACTGCACCTACCACAGGTTTTCTAAATAAAATTTTATTAGAACACAGTCATGCCCATTCATTTATTATCTATGACTGCTTTTGTGCTATAAGGGCATAAGATGAGTAGGCTGCGTGGCCTATAAAGCTTAAAATATTTACTACCTGGACCTTTACTGAAAGTTTGCCGATTCCTGGTCTATATAATTGAGTTAAAGGAGCAGAGAGTGCTTTTCAACTTTCGACACCTCCCTGGTGAGGGTAAGTGTGTACAAACCTAATAAAGATAGAAAATGGCTTATACTTTCTCCACAACTATATTACTGTAATAACCTTGGGGCTCATTTCCTGATTCAGTACACAAAGATACCCTTAAATCTGACATCAAATCTCTCAGCCACATTCCCGACATAAATTCGATGTCTTCCACCCCATATTCTCAAACTCATTTATTCATCAAAATCCCCAGCAAATTACACATTAGTTCCTCTGCAGATGAAACCAGGATGATGCCAGGTCAGATATACTTGCTCTTTCTATTAGGCCCCACTGTCCAAAGATATGTGAAATATAAAATTGGAACAATTCATTTCACAGTTTGTTCCTTGATCAAGACTAAATAGCACCCATCAACCCCCTTTTAAAGTTTATGTACAAAGAGTTGTCCAAGCCCATTCAAACAAACTAGACCCATGCTTCTCCCTCTCTTGTGCCTATGGGTCACGTCACACTTGAGTAGCAAGGCCCTGGATGACTAACTGGTAACTGGCTTTTCTATCTAATGACAATGAACCTCTCTCCTCTCTTGGTTAAAAGCATTCTCAGCTTCACGTATAAACAGATAAAACATTTTCTTTAAACCCAAGTGTTAATATCTTCTAAGCTTAAAATCTTATTCACGCTGAAGAAGCAATACAATCAACTTCTGGTGGGAGAGAGTTTCAAAGTTTTGGGTAAAAGTTTTGGTTTTTAAAAGGGGGTACATGGATATTGAAGACTTTTCTTATTATATCCATATATACATATATCCTTTTATATGTATTAAATATTTCACAGTAAAAAGTTGAAAAACGAAACAATAAATGGTAAAAGAATCAATTCCAAGAAGACTAGCTAACTCTCTAGAGAAACTGCTTTAGGTAAGTTAACCCTTCTTTACCACTCAGTGGCACCAAATACTGAGGACCTTTCCCTTCTATACCTGGGGCATTCACACCATCATTAATGGTTCTTATTCTATGCCTCTCCACCTCCTCCCACAGCTTCTCCGTCTGCTCATTCCCATTCTGCTCATTCTGGGGCCTCCATCTAAGCTTAGGCTCCCCAACTCTCTTCTCAATAACAAACCCATCTGATTGTTAAACATCACTTGGCTTCCCTGTTGAAAACAATCATCCCCTTACCCTGATGGGTTCTCTTCTAGTCTCTCAATTAAAGACACCATTCTATCATCCCTGAAGTCATCTCTTTTCCTCATCTTCTATATACAATTGCCCAGAAAAGACAGTCATTTTCCATTTTATATTTCCAACATGTTTGATCTTAGTTCAACTTCTCACTATCCCTCAACCACCCCTGATTAGTCCTACACTCTCCTCTCCCTACCAAGTCCCACACCACAGACGTTACTAAAAAGTAAAACTGACCATGACAATTCTCTTCCTAAAAACTTCACATGGCTTCCAATGTTAAACTCATTTACAAAGTACAGGAGGCCCTTTACAATTTAGCATTATTCTTCCTTCCTAGCTTGCTGCCAATCAGTCACACTAATTACAACTCTGTGCTTTTCCCAGCAGGCACTGCCACCACCTCTTCTATCTCATATAACTTGTTCTCATCCTTCAAGAATCAGTCGAGAGAGCACCTCCTCTTTTCAAGCCTTCCCCAATCCCTTAAATGATCATAACTGCTTTTAAACACCAATAGTATTATTACATTTTAATTTGTTCAGTATGCTGAGCTTCTCAAGGCAAGAATCGTGGTTTACTCTTTACTTACTGCCTTGAGTCTAGTATTATTAGACTTTGGTACACAGTAGGCATCGATAACCTGCTGATAATTAAAATGCCAAAGACACAGGGCATTTCCCATTACTGTTTCTATCCTTTTTTTCCTTCTGAAAACACAAAAGCTTTGACATTGCAATTCACTTGACCTGGTTCAATTCTGTTATACAGACAAAGAAATCTAGTGTGCTACTGGGTTTGCCTTCCAAGCCTCTTCACCTCACTACTGCTCCACTCACGCTCTTAGCCATCATTCCAGACTAGCTGCCACATGCCTGGTGGCCCCACCTTACTTGTTAGGATCTTAGCTCAGACTCTAGGATAATCTGAACTCCCACTAATAAGCACTGCCTGCCTTTTTACTTATCAGAAAGAACTAAAATATTTTAGCCCGAAGGAACCTTAGAAATAATGTTCAGATCAAAAGGAAAATTCTTTCTTAGGTAAAAAAAACTCTCTGGATTTGAGACTTAAACAAGAGTAAAGTCACAAATCTTAATGGCTTTACATGCCATGGGAACACAACTCTTGACTGGGCAAGCTTCCATTCCAGACATAATGACAATGATCTTATATCTCATCTGAATCGAATTTAGATAATTTAAACTACTGGTAAGAAACTCAAAGGTTTATTCACAGAGCTGAATTCTATGCTAATCAAAATTACTAGTACTCCTTCTCCCCTATTCCCAATGATAAAAGTCCAGATTTGAGTTCCCTTAAATATTTTGAACAAGGAATATGGGATGACCCAAATGCCTGTGGTATCCTCTGGTCCATGCAGGGCTTGCTTTCTGTTTCACAGGTGTGAAAATCCTCTCTGGGTGCTCAGGTTAGGCTAAGCATTCTTTCTTGGTTCTCCGTATTAGACAGCATAGAAATGGCCTTTTAAAAAAATCTTAGTAACCAGTAAGCTCCTCAAGAGCATAACAGGGATTGCTGAGTCAATGTTAGTTCCATATTACCAGGTACATGTGATGTGCAATGGTCTGCTGAGTAAAAAAACAAGATTTTCTCTAGGAGTCAACTTGCTTCAGTTTAAAAATTTTTTACTTCTCACGATTCTTCTCCTACCCTTCATACATAAGCTAAAACTGGAAAAGTTACACAAAACATACTTTCAAGTTTCGAAACCATGAGAAAATGTAGTTCATATCCAAAAAATCCACTCAGAAACTTCTGAAAAATTCTGTTGTTAAACTGGAAATAACCTCTATTAAAAAAACACTAGCGCTTACCTGATTATTAACTATAACTTAATACACAGAATGTTAAAAATGTTTATACTCAAATAAAATGGAGGTGAAAACCACCACAGGATTTGTTTATCTATCAAATTATTTGTAATACAAAAACTACACCCACGTGCAGAAACAGAATCCTTTAGGGTCATTCAAAAATCAACCAAAGCCATCTGACATACTTTTTTGGGGTTAAATTTAAAACCTACCACAGGAATACCACAAATATAAAAAGCAATTACAGTAACAAGATAAACCTAGAGGACATAAAGTTATAAATGTAATAGGTCATCTTTATTCTTCTTTCCC